GGCACGGTACAAACCTGACTCGAGCTCACAAATAATCACCTCTACTTTGGGACCCCCTCTCCCCTCCCCTCACCTCAATTTTAGTGGAAGCTTTCTGTCTCACAAATGCTCATGTCACAACCATCCAGTTAACCACCCTGTCTTTGTACGGTACGTAACATTCTTGATTTTTCTCTCCTATTAAATCATGAAGCATAAATACTTGAAGTCAGTCATTTTAAAATAGCATTTATTCCTCGTTGCTATAAAATACAGTAATTTTATTTACAGAAGTATTGATTTATAACAACAAAAACCCGATATACGATTCAAAAGATTTATTCATTGAAAACACCCCCATCCATCTAAATCTCACCTTCGTAAAAGATAGATTAATCAAATAACTTGTAAATCAATTTAAGTTACAGTTTAATGTTAAAACTTATAAAATAATTAAAACTCTGACGTTCTATTAATATGAAATAAATTTCTACAGTAATTATAACGATTAAAAGCAGTAAGAACGATCGAAATTAATGGTCATATACAATCAAAAAGTCAGGTTCAGAAGAAACCATAAAAAAATGAAAATTGTTGAACATCATGATAATAATTCATTTATACAGTATTCAAATGTGCATACAATTAAAACTAAGAAACATCTTCAATTACTTATATACATATGCATGCCACATAAATAGATAGTTATAAGAATGTTTTTCAATTTTTATTTTTTTAAATATTACCCAAAACACCACTACAATTAAAATACAACAATCTTTTTTTTAACCAGAAAAGTGGTGTTTAATTGGTTTGAACTTGAGCTCCAAATATTGAAAGTGTCCGGAGGTCCCAGGTTCAAATACAAGGAGAAATAAAAATCCTCTTATGACCATGAAAGTTCAAATATAGTGACTTCAAACTACCCACAAAACAGATGATTACCCTGAATTAACCAGCTCATATAGCGAGTTAGATATGTAAATTAAACAACATTTTTTTTCATAACTTATTCTTATTTTAGTTATGAAATTGGAGGAGTGGGGCCCATAAAGTTATTAAAATTGAATGTGGGCCCGAATCCATGGGGTGTGGGGCCCGTGGTCCAAATATCTCCTGAACCGTCGGCAGTCTTCTTATAGCGTCGGCAAATCTTGCCAAATAAATACCCCAAATAATCAATATTTTTAACCATTTTCACAATAAATTGTATCAAATAAAATTGATTTTATTTAATAAAATGAAATTAATTTTGTTTTATGTTTTTTATAAAGACAGGAATTTGGTAGCATGGTTCCTAAAATAGAAAAAAAAATGAGAGTTTAAAAACTTACTCCCATCTTTCTACTATAATACAAGAGTAAATCACATGTTTCTGTCTAGTACGGTTATATGTTTATAACGGTCTTTGTATCTGTTTTTGAATATAAGATTTTATGTTGGATGGGGAGGGGATTAAGTTTGTCTTATAAGGGACCTGATACCTCCTCACTAGTGTGCTTTTAAAACTGTGAGTCATGGTACGGAAAATTTGGACAATATCTAGTGCAGTTAGCTTGGGATATTATATATGGTATCAGAGTGGGGAACTAGACTCGTATTCCAAGGAGGATGTTAGGCTCCCAAGGAGGTGGATTGTAAACTCTTACATTGGTTGAGAAGGGGAACTAAGGTTGGCTTATAAGGGACTTGATACATCTTCTACCAGTTATGTTTTGAAATGTGAGTCCAAGTGTGGATAAAACGGACAATATTTGGTACGATTGGTCTGGATTGTAAGATCTCACATTAGTTGGGAAGGGGTACTAAGGTTGTCTTATAAGAGACTTGATACCTTCACGTTTTAAATATGGGAGTCTAGGTGTGGACAAAACCGACAATATAGTAATGTTACAAATTCAACAGGCCGTGTTCTTGTGGTTGCATTTCTACAACGACCTAGGTTTCGTACTCATTAATAATTGCAACTAGGGAACCAACTCATTAAATAAGATGCAACCATATAGGTGTAACTCGTTAAAGAACGTAACCATAAGGACATATTTTGTTGAATTTTCATAATATGGACAAGTATTGTTAAAAACATCTAACCACAAGGACGAAACATGTAATTTACTCTTAATAGAATTTAAATTTTTCTGTTTGACAAGAAAAATCATTAATATAGGTTTTTAAATTTGAAAATTTGAATCATTTATGACCTCTATACACTTGTCTTTGACTTTAATTTATAGTGTGGGTAGAGTTGAAAGGGGCCACCCTAGCGGGGTTTAGGGTAGAGGCCCGAAACAAAAGTGAAATGTAACGGAGCAGACACTAAGATTTCAGTGTCATGTAATGATTAATGTTTCTAAAACATACAGACACTGATGATTTAGGTGGTTATTAGTGTGTTCAGCTAGCATATTGATGCTTCACCAGTTCATGTAGTTGATGGTTTGACACTGATGTTCAACTAGCGTATTGATGCTTCAACGTTCATCTAGTTGATGGTTTGGCACAAATGTTCAGGTAGCAGATGAATGCTTGAACATTACCTAAACATTCATCTAACTGCTGATGTTCAATTAAAAGATAGATGCTTTAGCGTTCAACTAAATGATAGTTTGCTACTGATGTTCAACTAGTAGATAGATGCTTCAGCTTTAGGAAAGGAATTGCATTAGTTTCGTGACTTTTTTTTTACGATCAACTGCATATTTCGAATAATCATTTTCATTTATAGGGAGTTATTATTGTAATTAATATATGAACGAGTATGATTCTTTAATGGGATGTTTGACAGTTGTTGAATGGTTTGATGCAGAATGATTAAGTGTCTCTTATGATATAGTGCAAAATGAAATATAATTGTTTGATAATTGTTTACAATGAAATTAGAACGCTGAATGGTTAAGATACAAAATCATTCAAATTGTTTTGGAACCATTAAGAGACAAACTTTTTTTTACCAAACAAGATTCACCTCTTAATGATTTAGAGGTTGCCTCTTAATAGAACTATTAAGAATTAAACAAACAAGAATCTAAAAGGTAACGATTTTTTGTCAAGAAACCATTATGAAGATTTAAGATTATCCTCAAATTAATTTCGTGATACTCAGACATAGTTCGATCGAAATATAACTTAGAGAAACGAAGTCTCAAGCAGTCTTGGATTTTTAGCAAGAGATTTGGTTGATCGCCCGGTTTTTATTTCATTCTTGGTGAAAAAGTTCAAGGATATTATATGTATTAATCTTTAAAAATAGTGCATTTGGCGTGTAGCGCAGTTGGCAAAGAGATGGAGCGACTTTGTCCAAATACAAGACAAGTCTCGAGTTCGAACCCGGACCTCCCTAGCCTCAGTCGCCAAGTGAGCCAAAAACGTCCCCTCACATTGGTGTCTTTGTTGGTGTTCGGCTCGAGAAAATAAGATCAATCTTAATTTTGGATACAAATTTTAGAATAATATTGAACCCGATGCTTATTTAACAATTTTGAGTTATAAATTATGACGTAAATTTCAAGCTTTATAAGCTGAGTTTGGTTAACTCGTTTATTGGCTTAAGTATAATATTTGGTTTTTATTATCATTAAACTACATGTTGAATTAAATGTTGCATTTATTCGAAATAAATAAAACGTCAAGTTCAATTTAATATACGGTTTAATTAGAGTGTTTGACTGGTAATAATTAATAAAAATAAATAAATAAGTCTTATATATCAAATGAATCAGTTTCTTTTACATAAATAGTCTACTTACTCCTTGAAATAAAAATAAGTTATGCATTTATCTTATTATTCAGACTCTATTTTCGAATTAGATATACTGTATATTTTGATTTTTCTTACTGCATTTTATAAACTAACTGATAAATTATTTGTTGACTTATAAACTAATAGTTAAAGAATTAGGTGTTAGCTGATAAAGTAACTGCATTTGGTAAATACGAGCTAATAATGTAAATACCTAATACCAAAGGGCCTTTGGCCTAGCGGTATGCGAGTCTTTTGTCTCCTAGGAGGTCAGGAGGTTTAAACCTCAGCAAAAATCTAAAAATATATAAATCCATACAATTTCTTTTATATTCAATCTCATCAATGAAAATTTAGGCTTATAGGAGAATGATCCTATTTTATTTTTTTTAAATCTAAAAATATATTTTACATAAGGGCAAATTGCATGAAAAAATAACGTACTTTAACTTGATTCTTATTTTAGGTAACGCAGTTTCAAAACTTTCATTTTGGTACCTAAGATGTAAAGTTTTAAATAATTAAGTACCCGAGTAACTAGTTGAAGCATTAACCGGTTACCATGCTGATGTGTCGAATGATGTGGTATGCAACTCAATATTATTTGTTGAAGCATTAACCAGATACCGCATCACTCGTCATATCAGCATGATAACCAATACTTCAACCGGTTACCCGGGTATTTAAATGTTTAAAACCTTACATCTTATGTATCAAAATAAAAGTTTTGAAAGTACATCATCCAAAATAAAAATCAAGTTAAATTAGATTATCTTTCTATGTAATTTAGTTTTTACATGAATATATAAAGCATTTATATAAACCCTGACTTAAATAAGAATTTTGAATCCAAAAGTAACTGAAAATGAACTATTTAGATAACATTTCTACCATGATTGACTAAAATAGGATTTGGTAGAGACTTAGAATTTAGAAGAAGAAGTAAACGACAAATTTGGATGGGATAAACCGGTTGTTAGACTGTCTACAATATAAATACATTTATCAAAAAACCATATAATAATTAAATAAAACTTTTTATTTAATTAAAGAACACCAACGGCCCATTTTCAGCCCCCACCAACCTTCACCCCCACAAAAAGTTGTATCTCCTTCTCTCAAACCTCAAACAGTACTAGTCAATTCCGCCCCACCCCCACCCCCAAGAAATCCTTCTCTATGTGTACATAAAACAATATGAAAACTGTGATTCTGTGTGTTTTTTTGTGTATGGCAGAGAATCACAGATGATGAGATTGATGATGGGTTGAAAATGGGCAAAAACTGCAGAAAACAACCAGAAAAAAAGCATTGGAAACTTTAGTCCAAAGCTTTCCTTTCTCTTTCATAATCTGCTGTGTATGTGTGTGTGTTTTCAGTGTGAATTTAGTGTGTGTGTGTGTGTGATGAAATTGATGGGCCCACTACATCAATGCAAGACCTAGGTGTCATCTTTCATTCTCTAAACTCCAATTCTATTTTTCACCATCTTTCCCTAAAACACAAGTAGCAAAAACAGATGTAGCCTCTTGTTCTTTCTTCTTTTTGAAGCTTTCTCTTCGTAGTCATCATCACCCCATTAACAGTTTTTTTTTCCTCTCAAATTTCTGAAATAAATTTGTGGGTTTTAATGTTTAATTCATTTGGGGAACTGGGTCTCTCTCTCTTTTTGGTATCTTGATCTTATTTTGTATTCATGTTTTCATATATAAGTGATATTGAAGCATAAAGATTGTGTTCTTCACAAGGGTATATGTGTCTTTTATGAAAAAAGATGGAGAACTTACCCACATTGAATTGAGTTTCAATTTTTGTTGGGTATTTATTTTTTAGAAAAAAAAGATTGAAAATTTGAGATACTCATATTGATTTAAGTTTCAATTCTTGTGGGTTTTCTTCACAATCTGTTGGTGAAATCTTGACTTCAGTTTTCGGGGTTTTTTTGGGGATTTCAAATCTTGAAAGGCAAGATTGGATGTCTTCTAAGGTGTTGATGATCACATTCTTCAAGTAATTTGACCACCAATCACATTGATGAATTGGGGGTTTTAGTTTGAAGAAATCCCAAGCAAGAAAACCAGTTTTAGGGTCTAAATTCACATGTGAATATTTATTTGATGCCAATTGGGTGAAAAGAGAAAAAGGGCAAAAAGGGGTTTTGATTCTTTGCCAACCAAAGAATTCTACAGTTTCTTGAAGTTTACTCCTGTTTTAAAGCTTGAGGATTTGAAAATTGGGAATTTTCTTTAAAGATCATTTGGCCAGCTGCACAATTGTTCTTGTTTGATATCATCAAAGACTTCTAAACCTCAGGTACTTTCTTCTGTCTTACATTCCAATTAATCAGAATTTTGCCTTCTGTAAGTTAATCATTTTAATGTAGTATTTGATCCTGTTCTGTTAACATCAATTCTGCTTCATCTTTAGCTATTCATATGTATGTATATGGGTCAGGTTCATGGGAAAAACCACAAAAAAATGAAAAACAGAGGAACACCTCGGTAACCGTTCATTGAAACTTATGCACATGTGCATACAAGTAATTTGTAAGCAATTTGTCCGGTATGCACACATGCATGGAGACCGAGAAACAACTTCAGTTTCTTGTATGCACGTGTGTATATCGTATAGATGAATGTTTATTAGGGTATTCTTCAGTTTTTCATTTTTTGGAGGGTTTTCCCCTGAACCTTCCTCATATGTATGTATATACATAGAGGGAGACTCAGATTCAGGTGGAACCACAAAAAAGTAGAAAACTGAGGAACACCCTAATAACCATTCATTTGTCCAACATGCACATGTGCATAAAAGTAATTGAAAGGTTTTTTTCGATTCCTGTGCACTTGTACATTTTATGCACATGTGTATACCGGACGAATTAATAGTTACTAAGGAAAAGAAACTAAGAAAAACCATTAGGAATGCTTTAAAGAGACGATGATCATATACTGATGTCTTTATAGAGATTTGAACTCACAACCTACACATTGTTGAACAATATCATCTAATCTCATATATCTTTGTTGGTATTCTTCTTTATCAGGTCGAGTATCATTTGCCGAAGTTGAAAAAACTCTTGTTTCATTATGGCCAAGAGATCAAATAAAGGCAACCCGCAACAAAACAAAGATCAAGCAGGGTGTATGTCGGGACTTATCAGTATTTTTGACTTCCGGCATGGTCGAACCACTAGAAGACTGCTTTCAGATAGAAGACTCATGCCTAAAAATACCGTTGGTAAGCATAAAACAATAACAAATATTGCATTCGGTATAAATATTTGAAATGTCTTTGTAGTTGTTGAAGTCTCATATCAGCTAGACTTCGACAATTTCTCCTCAATATATGGAATTTCCATTCTCTATTTTGGAGAGTAATCTAAAGGGTTCCAAGTATTCTTTCATGGTATCATAACCAAAATGTTCCACTCCAGAGACTCGACACTTAGGGATAATCCTTGCCCATCTAGCCTCCGTTGGAGTGGGCGTGTTGGAGTCCCACATTGGCTAAACTTAGACAATTTCTTCTCAGTATATATATATATATATATATATATATATATGTTGGAAGCTTCATTCTCTCCACAAGGGCTTTTTTGGAGAGTATTCTAATAGTGTTCCACTTACTTTCACCTGGTATCAGAGCCAAGGTCTACCGGTTTAGGAACTCGACACTAGGAACAATTTGTACACCTCTAGCCTCTGTTGGAGGGGGGTATTGGAGTCCTACGTCACGTAGACTTGGACTATTTATCCTCGGTATATGTTGGAATCTCATTCTCTTCTGTGCTCTTTTGGACAGTAATCTAAGGGAAGTTTACATAAATAGCCAAAGCTAATAGGTGGTTTCACTTTTTAGCCATTTTCTAACCCAAGTTCACTTTTTAGCCATTTTCTAACCCAAGTTCACTTTTTAGTCATTTTCTAATCCAGGTTCACTTTTTAGCCGGGCCTTACGCAGAAGGCTTATGCATATGCATAAAGATTGGTTTTCGGAAAAAAAAAAAGAGTTCTTACGTAGAAAGTCGAATCCTTATGCATAATCCAATTTTTGAGTAAGGATCTTTATTACTTCTTTTTGACTGAAAACCAATCCTTACGCATATGCGTAAGCCTTCTGCGTAAGGATTGGCTAAAAAGTGAATTTGGATAAGAAAATGGGTAAAAAGTGAAACCCCATTTGTTGATCGGCTATTTCTGTCAATTTCCCATAATCTAATGGGGTTCCACATATTTTGACGGTAGTTACAACCAAACCAAACACACTTTTTCTTGTGTTATTGCTTACAATTCTCGGGTTTTCCGCAGCTTCTACATATCCTACCTCGGAAGCGAATATGATCACAAGTTCTGAAGAAAAGCATGTAAGCATTAAGGTGAGGGATATGAATATAATGTTCTTAAACGTGTGCGATTATCGACCCTAACTATTCTCATACGTATTTTATGTCGATTTATTCTCTTAGAATGTTAGCGAAGGCGAGAAACCAACAGTTGATGTTGTGAAGACAAGTGTGAAGGAACTCATGGAAGAAGAAATGGTCATCGAGCAAGCTTCCACGAATGAAACTGATGGCGATGACGTGGGATTATTCGATTCAGAATGTGGCAGCCATGAAAAGAACCACAAACATACAGAAAAAACGTCAAATAAAGCTTTCGAGAATCTTGATATCGCTGTTAGTGGTCAAGATTCGTCTCAGAAAGCATCACAGTTTAGTGATCTCGAAGCTCTAATGAAAGAAATCTTGTTGATTTATCAGAGAAGGAACGATCGGCAAAGTGATCTTGATGTAGGGAGAAATTGGACTTTTTCTATCGTTGAAGAGAAGTTGAGTGCAGCTGTTGAAGATTTCATGAACGAAAAGTTGAATGATGGAGACCACGAGAAAATCCGACGTTCGAAAGACTTCATCGACACGTTTCAGATGTTGAGTTCGAATAAAGAACTGTTCTTGAAACTCCTTCAAGATCAAAATCCAGATGTTAATGGAGATGAAGACCAAAAGTCGAAGTTAAAGTCAACGACGAGATCAAGCTCGTTAGAAAACGAGCCAAGCAATTCACGACCAGATGTACCTGCAACTCGTAAACATCGAAACTTCTTTAGAAGGAGGGGCAAGTCACATGAAAGTATATCGTTAAAGGGAGATGATAGTCCGTTGCATTCGAGTAGAATCGTCATTTTGAAGCCAAATTCTCTCAATAATCGACTTAAAATGGAGAATGAGGTTCATAGCGAAAGAATCTCGTCCCATTTTTCATTCATGGAGATCAAAAAACGACTTAAAAACGTTATGGGAAAGGAGCAAAAGGAGCAACGTAAACCGGGAATTAGTGAAAAAACAGTTGTTGAAGGAAGTAGTGGATGGAGTTCTCCAAATAGAGATCATTTCTACACGGAAAGATTTGCTAAAAGGGTCGAACGGGTTTCAAAGTTACGTGAACCCGAAACCGAAACCGAACAAAACGAGAAAGATGAAAATGGTGATTCTAGCCGTCGGATTTCTAGTATCTACATAGAGGCCAAGAAACATTTATTAGAAATGCTAAGTGGTGGTGATAAAGATGCCGAATTGTTGATAGAAAGTCTACCAAAAGCTCTAGGAAAGATTCTTTCGTTTCCGGAATACGATTCTCTTTCTCCCGGTTCTAGTCTTCGAAAAGAGAATGATCACGGTCTTGTGACGGAAAATACTAGACTTTCTTCATGTGGGAATTTTCTTACGGACAACGAGAGTCAACCGTGCGGATCTAGTGTCGATCTTGAAGACGAATCACGGGTTTCTAATGAAGTTAATCGTGATGTATGCGGTGGAGGTATTTCGTCTACTACTATGGAAGATACAAATCCTGAAGGTATTGTATTTCAGTATTGTTGATAGAGTGTCATGTCAGCTAGACTTGATCAATATATGTTGGAACCTCCTTTATGCTCTTTCCAAGAGTAATTTAATGGGGGTTTTACGTATTTTTAACATGGTATTAGAGCCAGAGCCTACCAAGACTTGGTACTTAGGGTGCATTTGATACACCGGATAGAATAGAACAGGGACCACTATTCCATGTTTACAGGACTTTTATATGGAATAGACAGGAACACAGCGTTCCACCCCCACCCTATGGAACAAATTGAACAGACCTAATTTTACCAATATAACATCAAAATAGAACTTAATTAATTTCTAAAACATCAAATACGTCTCCCTTTTTACATTTTATTCATTCTTTAAATTTTATTTATTGTATTTTTATGCTATTTAAACTTTCGCTTTACTATCGTCAAAATATTGTTTTTATAAGGTTTTGATATTTTGGTTAGTTTATATAATTTAATAAATATTATTAATAATAACATAGTATAGAAAATGTATAAAATAAAAATTGGAAACTACATAAACTTTTTATTTTAATGTCATTTTTTAATCGTCTTGACGAAAATTTTCTAATAATATATTTCGTAATAAAAAAAATTATTTTTATTATAATTTAATAAATTACATAAATTAATCAAAATATATAAAAGATGTAATCAACTCATTAAGGGTATGTTGGTCATTTTATATGCCCTGTTTTGCTCTATCTTACCAAAAACACCGAACAACTGTTCTGTTCTGTTCTGTCTTGTTCCACCACATTCTGTCTTCTCTTGACTGCCTGGATACCAAACGCACCCTTAGCAACAATTGAATCAAATGTTGGTACCGTTAAACGTTCTATTTTTGCTATTTATATATGTTATCGATACTTATGCAGGAGGCCTACAGATTGAAAAACCAAGAAATCAAGAAGAAGTGGAAGTCTTTGATGTTTCTTGTGAACCATGTAGTTATTTGGAAACCATAGATGATGATGACCAAAATGGTGAAATTGTCGAAATATCTGATGAAGAAAGTTCTCCGAAATGCTTGAAAACGGTAATTTCTTTGCACCGATGTTTATGGTCCTTTTCATTTATTTTTCACTAGTTCAAAGCCTTCACGGGAACAACTGTTCTACTTTGTTGGGTAGATATCAGGTTTGCGTACATTTTACCCCCGGCCACACCTCTGGTTGAAAAAATATATATCCAGACTAATCTTCGCAAGTTACGACTGTAAGACATCAGTCCTGATAAACTCAGTGGCCATAATTGTTGTGGACATCTAGAATTGAACCCGGGACATATGGGATATTTCACCACATCCCTCTGGGCCGCAACCACTGTGCTACAACCCTTGTGGTTTCTGGGTGGAAATATACTGGACTTGTTTGGCTTGGTTTGATTTAGGGTCGTCACATAAACAATTTGTCTACCCTTTAAGACAGATGTCAGGTTTACATACATTTTACCCCGAGCCCACCTCCTAGTGGGATATACTGCGCTCATTTGGTTTGGTTTAGGGGTCTTCGCATAAACAACTTGTCTACTATTTAGGACAGATGTCAAGTATGCATACATTTTATCCCGGACCCCACATCCTAGTGGGATATACTATGCTCGTTTGGTTTGGTTTGGTTTGGTTTGGTTTGGTTTGGTTTGGTTTAGGGATCTTCACAGAAACAATTCGTCTAGTATTTAGCACAAATGTCAAATCTACATACATATAACCTCGGGCCCCACCTTCCGGCGGGATAAACCTAGACCCCACCTCCGGGTGGGATATTGGGTGCTCGTTTGGTTAGGTCTGTGACTATCGGTTTTAATGCATTCTTTTATTTTGCTACAATTATTTTAAACATCATTTCTGTTGATTTTTAGGATTCACACGAAGAAAACGAGTTTTCTTCTCCAATGGGGTCCTCGTTTGCTAAAACAATCGAAGAACCGGAGAGTAATGCCAGCGATAAATCGGGGAAACCGAGTCCGATATCTGTTCTTGAGCCACTATTCTCGGATAACGAAATCAGCCCGGCAAGCACCGTCTCTCGACCTAGTAAGCAACCACCTTGTGCCGCCTGCTTCTTTGTTTGATTATCTTATACTCCCTCTGTCCCAAAATAAATGACCACAATGAAAAAAAAGAACACAGCTTTACACCGTCGATAATGAAAGAAGTTCGTGATCTTTTATGACAAAAATACCCACAGAGGAGAAAGTGAGAAAAACAAATATAAAGGGTATATTTGTAAAAAATGACATTTTTCCTTTCCTATCTCCTATTCAAAAACATGAAAAGTTGTTTCCTTTCCCTTCCATCCCTTTAAAAAACTTTCTTTTTCTTCCATATTCGAAAACATATTGTTAGAAATGTGTAACTATTACACTTTTTAATTGACTAAATGACAATTATGTCCTTAACAACGGAAGGAGTAATGAATTTCTCCATCTCATAATCAAGGGTAGAATTGGAAACTATGCACTTGTTTCGAAAGCGGACACTTATTTTGAGACTGAGTGAGTACACATGGCTAGAGAAAACTTTCCATTTAAAGGAAATTACGACACTTATTAAGAGTAAAATTGGAAACTATGCACTTACTTTTGAAAGTGGACACTTATTTTGGGACGGAGTGAGTACACGTGGCTAGAAAAAAAACTTTCCATGTAAGGAAATTACGACATTTTTGCTGAAATAATCTCGTACAAACTTTACAGTTGCGGCTGCAATTCAACCACTCTGCATTCGGTTTGAAGATCAAGAAATGTGTTCAAGAAACTGTATGGAGAATGAAGAATCTGCATTCGAATACGTTGAAGCCGTTCTACTAGCTTCAGATCTCAACTGGGATGAATTCGAAAGGCGGTGGCTTTCTTCGGTCCAAATTCTCGACTCATCTTTATTCGATGAAGTTGAAATCTTTTCCAGCCGGCCGTGTCACGATCAACGACTCCTCTTTGATTCCACTAACGAAATTCTAAAAGAGGTATGCGATTGTTACCTGAATTTCTATCTTCGGTTACCGTTCATCAAACAAAACATTCAACCGGTTCCAAAAGGGGAAAATCTTGTAAATGAAGTATGGGAAAGAATCGAATTACATCTAAAGAACAATTATCCGCTATCTTTGGATCGTCTTGTAAAGAAAGATTTGGGAATATCGAAAACGTGGATGGATCTTCGTTCTCATTCTCGAGAAATAGTGTTCGAGATTGATGAAAGAATCTTTGAAGATGTGATGGATGATACCCTTTTGAGTTTAGTGAATGATTGTATTCATAATGAATCATAACGCGAAACAGAAGTTTGGGATAAACTGTGTTCTGGGTCAGGTTCGGGTCAACTTGTATGCACCGTGACTGATCTGATGGGATCCTGAAGTTAACAGTCAGACAAATCTTTCAGTGACACTGCGTAAATTGAACTTTGTTGGTGGTTTTTTTAACTAGATGACATTAGAGGTGTTAGTGAGCGTATAGAGTTTGGTGTGTTTTTGAGTGTGTTTTTGGTTTTGTTTGTTTGATATATTTACTTGTAGTTACAAAACCATACAAAGGGGATTTTTCCCACCAAATAATGTTTGAATTTCTATGTCTTTTTTAAGATTTATGAAACAATCGAATAAACGTTGATTTAGATATAGCCGTTCAAGACATTAATGTGAGAATATGTGAAACCTCATATTAATCTCTAAAAGAGCCGTTGAGAAGATAAAGGGAGGTTTCAACATATATAGAGGGGAATCTGTCCAAGTCTAGTCGATGTGGGACTCTAACACGCCCCCTCCAACAGAGAGATGGGCACTTCCCAGAGTGTCGAAAGGGGGCTAGACGGGTGAAGGGCCAAGCGATTGCCCTGGTGTATCGAGTCCTTAGAGTGATAGATCTTGACTCTAATACCATGTGAGAATATGTGAAACCTCATATTAATCTCCAAAAAAGCCCTTGCGGAGAGAAAGGAGGTTCCAACATATATAGAGGGGAATTTGTCTAAGTCTAGTCGATTTGAGACTTTAACAATTATATATTTATTATTAATTAAAATCTATAGTTAATGATTAATAATTTCTTATTTAAAAAAAATATGTAGATGTGGCTTAGAGACTGTTTAGTTGGTTTTCCATTAATAGACAAAACTATGTATGTGGATCTGTCAATATAAATTGAGAAAACTTTTGTTTGGGATGGTTTTTTTTATAGATGGAAGGAACGTGTGTTTTTTATTAGGAGATACATGTTTGGAAGAAAAAAAAAACTTTGTTTTCTACATAAAGCTTCCCGACAAGCTTACAGAATAAGAGGTTGTTCGGTAATGGCTTAATGGGATATTAAGCATGTATGTCTTATTCGGTCAGCCATACATTGTTGTTCGTTTTTGGCTTATTTGATCAACCGATGGCTTAATCGATCAACCAGGAAAGTAGGGTCTTAATAGACTCAATCATTTATTCATCCCTTTATTCCAAATTTGTCCCTTTCACATTTCTAGAACCCCAAAAATCTCAGCTTCTTTCAATCTCATTTCTCTCCTTCATCTCCATCGATCTATCGTTGCTTCTTCCTCACTATCTACAACAATCGTCGTCTGCTGCTTCTTCTCACCATCGCCGGTCGTTGCCCTCTGCCTCACCATCGCTAGTCCCTACCCTCTGTCTCACACACCGACGACCCATCTCCATTTCCTCATTTGTGTTGCATTTCTCGTTTTAGGGTTTGGCTCCCGCTTTTGTCTCCTTTATGTTTGCATTCTGTTATGCAAAGACCGCCTTAAAATTAAGTTGAAATTTTGTTGACTGAATATGTAACCAATATGAATGAAAAGAAAGCAAAGTGTGATGTTTAACAACGAAATCCAGAGCCTTATATCTATACATTGTTTTCCATTTGAATTATGGGTTTTAGGTGTTATTATTTTCTCTATCTTGTTACTGATTTGTTATTACAGATCTGGGTATGTTTTCTAATTTAGGGTTTCATTTAGTGATTTGTTTGCAGTTTTATGATTTGAACTATAAATATTGTTGTTTTGATAAATGTGATCTATAATGTTCAATGTAAAACCAACGGTAAAATGATGGTTTATTCAACATAACAACCGAATAACAACTTATCTGTTAACATACAAACAACTTTATCAATATAGACAACTTTATTCATACATGTCTCAACAAAAAATGAACCGAACAACCCCTAAGTCACATTTTATATCATTAAGACACTACTAAACAATCATGTATAACTGACCGAATAAGTTGTGAGTCTCATTAAGCTCATTGAGCTACTAACAAACACACCTTTAAAGACTTTACTAATGTTAGAATAAGAAAATACCAAGTTTTCTATACACATAATATTTCTTTCGATAAAGGATTTTGTAAGTTTGTTAGCTTGGTGCAAATTCGACCCATTTACAGAACGGGTATGAGCAAGTTATCAAGTCTATAAAAAAAGACTTGAATTTGTCGTATCAGATTTGTTGGGCCAAAAAAAAAGGTTTAGCTTAGACAGTGTCCAACCGAAACCCGTAAATGATTACCGTTAACTAACGGTTCGGTTTTGTCGCACCGAGCGCTTTTCTCGTCTCTATATGGATCTTCCTCATCCGTCCTTATTTGTTATCGTAAGTTAAACTTGGTAGATATCCAAGACGATATAATATTCTTGACTAAAGTAACATACCAACGGTGATATTCTTTGTAAAAAGATGTCAAAGATTGACTACAGTTACAATGCTTATATTTTAATATAAATACAACCCAAGTCAGTTGTATTTTAAAATAACATTTGATGCACATACTAGATGGAATATGACTTGACTGGACGGTTGGTATATAACTAAAATAAGACAGATAGCTAGCCCGGAGTCATCGCATTTGAACTTCCGTGGTCACAAGAGGATTTTTTTATTCCTACTTGGATTTGAACCTGTGACCTCCCGGTACTTTTGACATTTGAAGTCAAACTCAAACCAATCAGGCACCACCCTTGTGGTTTATTTTGTAATTTATAATATACATAATATGTATATATGTGTGTGTAATGTATATTATTTTATAAGTTCATAATTTATATTAATATATAGTAATAAATTATATTACGTACATAATTTAAAATTTTATATCTTAATCTAGGTTTTATATAAAATCTATATGTAATTTTTTATATATTATATTATGTACAAATATTATGTATACATACATTTAGGGCTTGTTTGTTTTTTGAAAAAAACCACTTAATGCCTCTTAAGTTTGAACCAGTCAGACGTTTTTATTTTATTTTTTTTATATAAATAAGTGCTGAAAAGCTCTTAATTTGCTCTAAAAAAAGTGATAACATAATCACTTAAAACCTCTTAATCGCTCCCTCCAGACTCTCCCCTCTATTCTCACCTCCAGATTTAGTCCTCCAAATCTATCTCGCAAGACATTCGATCTCCAAATCAATCACGACCCAGATCGATCCACATATTCTCGTAAAATCATAACCCAGATCGATCCAAATCTATCAGATCCAAAACTTGACTGATTCAGATTTCAGACGTAAAAACAAACAGTCTGACTGATTCAGATTTCAGACTTCAGACGTAAAAACAAATAGTTTGACTGATTCAGATTTCAGACTTCAGTACCACCTCTTAAAATTCAGAAGTGAAATCAGACTTCAGACTTCAGAACCTCTTAAAAAACAAACGCCACCTTAGTTTTACAATTACGTATAAAAATGCTAGTTAATATATACAATGCTGGGTTCACATGAGATTAACATGTTCTTATGAGATCCGTAAAACCACATTTTTACATTTGAAACCTCAAAGCAAAACATTGTGAAAGTAAAAAAAATAGAACTTTCACAACAAAAACACTGTGAAGGTTACCACCACAGTATTTTGATATGAAGTTTCAAATTTAAAAAGATAGTTTAACGGGTCCCACGAAAACAACATGATGTCACATGATCCTAAGTCTCTCCCTCTACACACACACACACACACACATATATATATATGTATAAAATTATATATATTTATAAAGTATGTATACAATTATATAAACTAATCATATTTGGTAAAAAAAATACCAGTTAATAAGCTAGTTGACAGTGCAAATGAACTAAAATGACATGTTAAAAAACTGTTTAAATTTTAAAATTACACGATAAATATTCTTAATAAATTACTCTAAAAACCCATTAATAAATATAATCACAATAAAATAAACCCTAACAAAAAAATCAATTATTTAGGTTTAATTGATATTTATTGCATTTCATATCATATTTATAAATAGGAATTTTTCACATCTCATGACACAACAGTCGCATGTTAAAAAATGTAACGAATTTTATAACATTTCAAACGTAACCGAATATGAATTTTAGAAAATTTATCAGATTAATTGATTATTTTAAACAACCGTTACAAATCTTATAAAAAAGCAAAGTTTTTTAACATAAATAAATTATTTTACTAATACTCAAATATTTTATTAAAAATACTTTATTAGTAATTTTAAAAATATTAATTAATAATTAAATTTTTTAC